ATCAAGCCAGTTGAAATTCCAGCTAGAAAATGATAAATACGTAGGTTGCAGGCAAACGTTTGGTTGGCAAAAAGCCAGATTATTTAATATTAATCAAGCATTGTTACTGTTGATTGACTGATTCCTTCTGATCCTTCCCAGCCTTAATTTATCTGCCAGGCTCTTATATACTAAACAGCATTTTCCATTAACTGGATGGCTGGTCTGATGAATTTGCACTCCCTGCTTGCGCAGCAAAGAACTAGTCATTTGGGCTTGGTTTCTAGCATCCACAGCAACCTTTTTTATTGCTTTGCAATTCATCTCTTTTTGTTTGGGTTTTTCCTAAAATCCCGTTTGAGATGATGAACAAGCAAGTATGCTCTATATGTTAATGTGTATAATTTATTTTGCAAGCAGAGAAAGGAAACAAGTATATTAAATTGATTACTCAGAAAAAGAGGTTATCCTTCTAAGCTTATGTCACGAGATTTGCAGCAAATGAAATAAAATTGTACTAGAATTAGACAGTAGGAGCTATAGATAATTAGATATTGACTGCATGTAGAAAAAAAAAGGGCTACCATTAAAAGGAAACATTCCATAAGCAGGATGCTTGCTTGCTTTGTTTTGATAATATGACAGGCAGTAATAGCTTGCCTTGCTTTGAACAAAATCATTTTGAAAAATCAGGGTGCTAGTTTTCAGTTTCTTCATTATTTTTGTTTAACATTAATCAAAGGCCAACAGTTGAGTCCAATAGCACCTTTAAGACCATCAAAATTTTCCAGGGGATAAGCATACAAGAGTCAAGATTTCCAGGTATAAGCTTCCAAGAGTATCTGACAAAGGGAACATTGACTCTCAAAAGCCCTGGAAATCTTGTTGGTCTTCAAGATGCTACAGGACTCAAATCCTGCTCTTCTATTGCAGTCTAACATGGCTGCCTTTGGTCCCCCAAAGTTACTGCTTGGTCTGTAACTAATTCCTGAACAGTAGAATGTGGAACCCTCTGTGTCTATTATAAACAATCCTTTGACATGATTCGTCTGGCATTTTGTACGGCCTTGAATGCTTTACCATTGGATACACCAACACAGCAGCATTCACATTTATAATAAATGTGTCCTTTTGTCTGAGGGGGCTACTCCAGGTTTTATTTTGTGCCTGTGGAGTCCCGCATTTGGGATCATACTCAGCTAGCCTAATAATGCGAGCCAGTGTGGTATAGTGGTTAAGAGCAGCAGACTTTGGAGAACCAGGTTTGATTGTCCACTCCTCCATATGCAGCCTGCTGGGTGACCTTGGGCCAGAACTCTCTCAGCCCCACCTATCTCAGAAGCAACACTCCCTCTAAGCTTTGGAGTCTTGTGAGCAACAATTCTACTTTGTGAGCTACTGGCATTAAAATTGTGAGTGAGCAGTTTGGCTACTGCATACGTTAGTTTGCTCTGGAACCGACCTTCCTGAGCTAAGACAAAAATGTGTGAGCTGGAGGCTAAAAAACTCTGAGCTAGCTCTCACACTAACTCAGCTTAGAGGGAACACTGCTCACAAAGTGCCTGTTGTGGGGAGAGGAAGGGAAGGAGATTGCAAGCTGCTTTGAGACTCCTCCAGGTAGAGAAAAGCGGGATATAACAACCAGTTCTTCTTCTTATAAAGGTTTCTTCTCCTCAGAGAACCATGTTCTGCGGAAAGGGAAGAGGAATGCTGATCTCTAACAATGAATTATCAGCACTGTCAACCAGTGTTCCCTCTAAGCTGAGTTAGTGTGAGCTAGCTCACAGTTTTTTAGCCTCCAGCTCACACATTTTTGTATTAGCTCAGGAGAGGTGGCTCCAGAGCAAACTAATTTATGCAGTAGCCAAATGGCTCGCTCACAACTTTAATGCCGGTAGCTCACAAAGTAGAAGTTTTGCTCACAAGACTCCACAGCTTAGAGGGAACATTGCTGTCAACAAATGGATTGGAAAGAGGGGGCAATGATAATTAAATGGGTATAAAATCCAGTGTTTATTGGTAGTGTAGAAGTGTCTTGGCAGTGTGCTCACGCTGACACAGAATGTTCTAGGGCTTCAGTAAGAGCCGAAGAGTTCATGCTACGACTCAGAGCTGAGAGTGTTGCATCATGAATGTTTTGAGATGAAGAACCAGCATGTCCCTGCACTACTCTCTGTTGACCTCCATAGAAGGCTCTTTTTTAAAAAAAAAGTTATACACAACAAATGGAATCAGCTGCCTTGGGAGGTGGTGAGCTCCCCCTCACTGACAGTCTTTAAGCAGCGGCTGGACAAACATTTCTCAGGGATGCTCTAGACCGATCCTGCACTGGGCAGGGAGTTGGACCGGATGGACTGTATAGCCCCTTCCAACTCTGTGATTCTGAAACAGGAATTGAACATATCATATCATTAAGTAGTTGGCTGACTGCCATTAGGCATAAGAATCCCACTGTAATCTGTGTATGATACATACGTATCGTATATATGTATGGAAGTGTCATCAGGTCCCAACTGACTCACAGTGACCCCAGCAAGGGGCTTTCAAGGCAAGTGAGAAGCAGAGGTGTTTTGCCATTGCCTTCCCTGCAGAGTCTTCCTTGGGGGTCTCCCATCCAAGTACTGACCCTGCTGAGCTTCCAAGATTTGACATGTTTGAGCTATACTGGGCAGCTTTCCCTCCTTATATATCAAATATCTATATCTCATTCATATTTATCTGTATCTCATATCTGTCTATCCTTTATAGAAGTACTTGTCTTGTCCAAAGTGTTGCTTTTATGGACTTTATGAACTTTATTTTTTATTTGTAGCTTGGGGACGGCATTTCATGATGCTACTATGTAGCTAGCAGGTGGTGCAGGATTAAACTTTAAGAAAACTTTTGTGAGAAGATTTACCTTCTATGTTCTTGTTGCCTTGTAGGAAAAATAATGTTCAGGTTTTTCTACTCCTTTGCACTCCCTTGTCTTCACTACTTTTTTAGTGCTGCTATGGAATATGTGACCAGATCTTGTGTGGTCTTTCCTTTACTTCCTTTAATAGTGGTCAGGGGGTTGGTCAGGTGTTGATTTTTTCCAGTTGTTTTTCTCCCATAGCTGCTCCTCAACTCTCATTATTTAGAGGATTCTTCTATCATCCTTTTTCTCCTGAATAGAGGACTGACTAATGTATGAAGCCTTATAAGCAGGCACTTGTTTTATTCACTGGTTGCTAAACATGTACTAAGTGCTGCTGTGTGCAAACAGTTGCTGTAGCTGCAGAAATGTAAAAGCACACTATGGGCCTTGCATTGGCCCTCTGTCTTTTTGTGTTCTGGTAGAATGACCAAACGTGTGTGTGTGTGTGTGTGTGTATGTGTGTGTGTGTGTGTGTAAGATGCTGCACATTTCAGTGTGGGGTGTGTGTATATATAACAGTGCACAGACTAGTGGTGTGAATCACAGCAGTATGCCAAAGCTGCTGGTATGAGTAATGACATACCAGTGGCAGACAGAGGGGAAGGATAACTAGTATTAGCAGGCAACTGCTGGCCCTTGATATTGTGGTGCTGCATGAATGGCTGATGCTGCTAAAATTGCTGGGACTGCACAAGAGTAAGGCCAAAATCTTACATGCATTTTGGAGCACTTCAGCTCTCCCTGGGGAAATATTCCACACTTCAGTGAATGCACATTACTGCCATTCACAGGATAAGTTGTGCTGTTCCCACTTAAGTGCTAACATATACCATTTCCATCTAGTGTGGGAGATGACACCCAAATACAAGTGCCATTTGTGGGGGGGGGGGCGGACGGTATGCCCCACATATACAATAGAGGAGTAAAGTTTCCAAAGTATCCATAAAACTGACATGGCTTTTTTCCAACTTTGTTTCACAGGATAGTAGAGAAGAAGGGGGCTGTGAGTGGAAAAGGCAGTGTTAAAACTTTTTTTACATATAGGGAAGAGTGGTTAAAATAGAAAAGCCATTTCCACACGTGAAGATGTCTATAGGGAAGGGGGTGGTGGAAGACTGAAATGTGTTTCAGATAGAATGCCTCTGCCCATAGGTAGCACACAAAGACTGCAGGAATGCAATTGTAAACCCACATGTCTGCGTGGCCATCAGTCAGTTCTAAAGCTTGGCGGTATTTCCAGAAGGGTCACCCTTTTAGACCATTGCAGCCAAGACAAACAGGTGTCTTATGATCCACATCTGATAACGTGTCTCCATAAAGGCTTGTACTAGAATAAAAACTTGCTTGTCTTTAAAGTGCCATAAGATACCTGTTTGATTTAAAAAATTGATACATGCCTACTAAAGCCACTTTTCAGTCATTCATAAACAAACCCAGTAGCAAAAGAACAAGCACTCCTGAGCCTAAATATACAATATGTAGAATTTGTCTTAAGTGATTTGTAAATGTGCAGGTGGGATGATCTGCTCTATACACTCAGCAGTCTGTTGCTGGTAATTTGAGACTTCTGAGAGGGGTAATTCCATATTGTAAACGATTTTACGACATCATAAATTTGAGCTTGCTTTGGTTCCAAGGCTCTTCTGGATAGGGATCTTACATATTATTTCTGACCATTTACAATTAACCTCAGCAATCCATATCCTGAATATAAATCTCTTCTGCAGCTGTTTGTGGAACACATGACTTGGTACACTTTTTATCCTTGCTAACATCTTAACCTGTTTTTAACACATCGCAATCTTAGAACCATTCCTTCTTCCTTTTATACAATCTCATTCCGATATCTTTACAACATGATGGATTAAAGTGTCTCAAGAGCCTTTAGTCTTGGGGAGTTTATAGCATTATTGCTGACCAAGCAGTATGATTGACATCTTGGCCTGATGCCTGTTACTCAGTATTTTGGCAGTCTTCGATTTAAAGTGGGGATCTTCAATAATTTCTGGTCTGTTAACCCATAGAAATGTGCTCTGGGGGAGAGGAATGGGGAGTTGGAGGCTGCCCTTACCTGGAATGTATTTGGCTGAAATCTCTGATGGCTAATCAATCTTTCTTGCAGATGCTGTGTCTGAGAAAAATTGGAAACCTAAGACATCACAGAAGGTTGCTTTGTAGCTCCCTAGTGCCATCTGATGGTAAGCTTTCTCATCCATTACTGGCTAAATTCTCAGGAGTCTAGTGACACCTTGGAGACTAACAAAATTTGTGTTCACTTCATTGGATGCAGAAACATCCAGTAGACCAACGTGTTTATATTAAAGGCTGCAAAGGGGAGATATCTGAGAGAAGCCAGTTTAAAACAAGATCCAACTGAAAGAGTAACCAGGGGATTCACAATGGATGAGGACCACTCCCAACTGTTGATACATAGATAAAGTGGGATGAACATAAAATCTATTCTGGGGAAGTGCAGGATGAGACATAAGCATATCCAATGAGAAAGTTAGAGAGGTATAACTGAACTAATTAACATATATAACAAATGGAATATGCAAGATATTAGCACCCATAATAAATGAGAAATCCAAAGTGGGGATGAACTTCTGTATGAATCCCGACTGAGCAATTTTGCATTTGATTCTCCTTTTATAGGAGACAAGGTCAACACCCTAAGCACTTTCTGAATGTTATATTGATTCTACCTCCATATTCCATGAGAGGCTTGAATACTCATATTAATTTCAGTTGCCCCAGGAGTGGTATGCAATGAAAGGAAATATGTAGTCTTGGAAATACATCCACATGCATATGGCAGTAACTAAGGTAGTCATGAGACTTGGTAGATCCTGCCAGACCTGCTACCGAATTTGTGAATCCTAAGAGCATGCTTCACCCCAGTCAGAAGCACAAGATCTTGTACAAGTAATAGTTGGTGTAGAATTCAGCAGCATCCTGGATTCTATGTACAGCAGAAAGTGTGTGTCTTCCCATATGTATCCCCCACACACACCTCTACCTATTGGCTCGTGTTCCATGACCTGTCTTTGAAGCAAATTAGATCCATCTGGGTTTTCAGAACAAGCCTTGTCAATCATGGTCCACTACTTACTGTAGAAGAATTTTCTCAACAAAATGTTCTGTTGCATACATTTAGGAAGGTGATGGGCCTTTTTGGTTCATGAGACTTTCCACAAGGGGTTTTTCATTTGCTCTGACCTCTATTGTGCAACCAAGTGGGTTGGTTTACATGTAATAGGTAAATCTGAATGCTTTTCTTTCCTCCTCAGAAGTCAGTGTTAATTATAAACATGGGTTGCCAGTGATAACCCTTACGTTACCCTCCAGAAAGGAACGCTGTCAGTTTACTGTGAAGCCGATGCTAATGACTGTCAGAGACTTTATACAGGACATACAGCAGGAGGATAAAGCCATTGAAGAGATAGAAGCCTTCACGACAGGTACTGATGCAGATGTTACCTTAAAAGTTTGTTTCGCATGTTGAATCCCTGCCAGGTTAGTGCCAGTGTGGTGGAGGGGAGGGCGGGGTATAAATTGAATTAAATAAATAAATAAGAGTGTCAGAATGGGATTGGTGAGATCCAAGTGCAAATCCTCCCCTGTTCTATCAGCTGCTGCTTCTCTACCTCGATCTTGCTCTGGTTCTAGAGGGGACTGGGGAGAGGGCAAGAGAGCAGGTGACAGTGGCCAGCAGGTGGGTACACTGTGGCACGCGGGCCCATTTATACTATACATAGACTTATATCCTTCAAAAAGCTAAAGGCAGTATACTTTCTAAAATTACTGTAGCAGTCTTTTTCATAACTTAAGGGAAAAAAGGCTTCACTCTCTGTAGATGGGGATCTTACTTTATAGCATTATCCAGCAGTATTTTTGTGAAAGGGAGGCCTGGAGCTTTTTTTTTTTTAAACGTACTTTGCCTTTTAACAAAAACCTGAGAGCCCAACAAAGAATGCTCATGTGGCTCATTCCGGTGCTAGAAAGAAAAGACAGGATATTCATGTGAGCAGTTTACTTTAAAGACAGTCCAGACTTCAAATGAAATCAGTCCTTGATGGATTTGATGATTTCCCACTTTGTATTCTGCACATTTATAAGCTGAGATAAAGTAAAGTCTGTTTGGCAGTTGTGCATCTGTGTCTTGATAACTGAAACAGAAGATTGTATCTTGCAGAAGGCTGTTGTGGTTAGGGAGTACTAGAGGCTCTTGTGTATTTTGTTTCTACTGTAACTCTTTGGGAGATTATTTTAAGATTAGAACAGGTCCACACAAGACACTAAACAAATATTTCTATTTTATTTATCTACATCAGCCTGCTTTCTCTTTCCAAACAAACACTGTTTTTGCTAGAACATTGGATTTCAGTTGCCTTTATCAGGACAGTGTTTTTATGCTAGTAGTTTTATTTGTGAACACTGACGCTGAACTGCAGGCTGTGGAAGGTTGGTAGTTCAGCAGTTCAAGACCCGGGTGCCGCATGACGGAGTGAGCTCCCGTCTCTAGTTCCAGCTCCTGCCAACCTAGCAGTTCAAAAGCAAGAAATTGCAAGTAGATAAATAGGTACCACTTTGGTGGGAAGGTAACAGCGTTCCGTGCACCTTGGTGTTTAGTCATGCCGGCCACATGACCACGGAAACGTCTTTGGACAGCGCTGGCTCTTCAGCTTTGAAACGGAGATGAGCACCGCAACCCTAGAGTCGGATTCGACTGGCTTTCAAGCAAGGGAACCTTTACCTTTACCTTTTAAAAAGTGAATAACAAAAGGCAAGTGGGATGTTGCATACATAAATGTTTCATTTGTTTCTCCTTTCAAATGATGCTGTACCAGACTGTCTCCAAACAGAATGGGAGTAAAAGAGAGCTGATGGTATTTGGTTTACAGCTTCAATAATCAGAGTTGCAGCATGAATCCATTTGACAGAATTCCAATCAGGCAGAGCCAGTGTGGGTTTGCCTGCAGCACGGTTGGTTTGTGTGATGGATGTGCAGAAAAAAGGCCAGCAGTATAGTATTATATAAAGCCACTGTACTAGCATATTCACATCATGCCTTGTTCGTGCTTTACAAAAACAAATATTCATTGTATAAAATCAGCCACTTCACCAATACGAGAAAGATTTGAGGGTGTGAACAACCAAGGATGGTTTATCTGACTGCCTTTTCTATCATCCTCTTCTTGGAGTTTCCTCTTCAATTTATTTCCCTCCAATTGTATTTCAGGGTTCAGTCTGGAGATATTTGCTTCCCTTCCAGTCTGAGTGATTAATTTATTCTCACATTGTCTGTTTTTACTTGGTGATTCCTAACTCTGCCTTTTGACACCTGACCTCCCCTTTCTTCTAGTCCCATGTCTCCAATTGCTTGTTCTTTCCTCCTCCTCAACATGATCATGGTCAGAAGTTCTGATCTTTCTACCTGGACCTTCTCCTCGGCCACTGCTTCTGCCCCTCTACTGCTGACACAGTTATTTTCTTCTGTCTTACAAACATGCAAATTTGAGGTTATTTCAGCCAGAGGTTTCCTTTTTATCACTAAATCAGACAAGGCAGCAAACAATCAAAAACATTAAAACAAGCTTTTAAACTACAAAGAATAGAAATGATTAAAACAGTTAAACAGACCACATACACAGGAAGGAGGGTCAGTGAGGTAATACCTGGCCAAACAGAAAAGTCTTCACCTATTTATGGAAGGCAATGATAGAAGTAGACAGACTAATCTCCTTGGGTTGGCACATATCTAGCTTTGGGCACAAGCCCATCTAGAACAGAAGATGCAACAGTTCTGCCCAACAGTAAGACCTCCATTTTGTCAGGTTTAAGCTTCAGCATATTAGCCCTCATCCATCCTAAAACTTCCTCTGAGTACTGATTCATGGTTTTTACAGCCTCAATGGAATATGTTGGAAGCACAACTATGCCTTTCAGACCTTGTTGGAATTAGTGTGGGAATGAACCATCTCATTAAATGTGCTGGTTTGATAAGAAATGTTGTGACCCAGGATTAGTTCCAACCAGTGTTCTCTCTGAGTTAGTGTGAGCTAGCTCACAGATTTTTTAGCCTTCAGCTCACACATTTTTGTCTTAGCTCAGGGAGAATGGCTCCAGAGCAAACTAATTTATGCAGTGGCCAAATCGCTTGCTCACAACTTTAATGTCAGTAGCTCACAAAGAAGAATTTTTGCTCACAAGACTTCACGGCTTAGAGGGAGCATTGGAATGTTGTTCCTCGCAGGAATTAAAACCATGAGTGATCATCCCTTGGACTCTCATGTCAACAAGACCACCTCTTCTACCACCATGACATTTCTGCTCATACATTCAGTACCTTCTGCAGGCGATGCCCTGCAAACAGGCAAGACCAGCAACTGCCCGTACATGTGCATTCTCTGTTGTGGTCCCCTCCTTGTGGAATGGTCTGCCTGACAAGGTTAGGAAGCTTCCCACAAGCGCCTTCAAATCTGCAAACTATGTAAAATAGAGTTGTTCTGGAGAGCCTTTTTATAAAGGTAATAGAGCTATACTGTAACAGAATAGTTTAGGAAGGTGCTTTATTTTAAGGAAGATTATACCATTGTGTACAGGACATATTATCACTTTGCTGCACATATTACTCTATTGTTTCAGTGTTTTTTACTAATGTAATAACATTTTTCTTCATTATATCCACACTTTGCAGCATGCCGAGTATATTATACTCATTCAGAATTCAGTAATTCTAGTCCTAATATACTGCTCATTTGATGTCTCCTCATATTGATTGTATTGACCTGCACTGTGTTTATTTGCTGTCTCTTTGTATGGACTGTTATGACTTAACTATGTTATGTACTTTGAGTCTCAGTGAGGCAGATGGACTATCAATACAGTAATAAATAAATCAGCCATCAAGAAGATCACACAGATTGGCATTACTTTCATTAGATATGGCAGAGGCCAGATGAAACAAATTGTTTGCATGTATTATGAGCCACAGACATGCAGTCTTCATGGCATGCGTGAGCAAGACTATCACGTATTGTAAAGCCCTCCTTGTTACGCTGTTTAAGAATTCCATATGCTGAGAATGGGGGGGGGGAGGCTCACTTTGCAAAGGTATCTGTTTTTGGATGACAGGACAAATTGGAATTGGATTGGAGACTTCCATCTTCAGTCTCAGCACATTAGGGGACGGTAAAGGAGCAAGTACAGGAGCCCTTTGAGGCAAACTTGTGCTCATCACAATCAGTCTCCTCCTGATTATTCATGACAACTGAAGGCAGCAGCAGACTTCCTGGGCCGTGGATTTAAGAGTGTTACAGAAGGCATGGAACTTTGCAAGAACATCCCCATGTCCAGGTCTTCCCCAAAACAAGGTCCTGATAGTTAGGAGCAGCGGAGTGACCTGTCGCGGAACTGTGCGTAGAGGCATGGGCTTAAAGAGCTTTTGGCCCTTAGCTATTAGCCAGTGGGTTGGAGCCTAGAGCTGTGCAAAGGATTTCTTGTTTGGTCTGTTGCATTTCTTTTCATTCTGTATTGTTAGCCACTGTGGATCTCCATTGGGGTGAAAAGCAGAATATAACTGTACTAAAAAATACATCATGTGGTATGTTCTGCTAAGTGTTTAAGTTTCTTTATCCTCTCTCCCTCTCACTAGTTGATGTTGACAGGCAAACTCTCAAAATGATTTGTCCCACAGTGAGTTTCATTTTATGTTAGAAAGGAGGAGGGGCGGCTTTCAGTGGAAATTCTGCATCCTTTCCAACATCCAGTTCTACCAGCAGCCGTTCATCAATAAGATCAGTGTCGTAAATCTGGAATGTGCTGAACCTCACTGTCTGCGATCAAGTTGGCAATGATACTTTGATTTTATTTAATGTAGCATTTCATTACTAATGAGCTGTCGTGTTCTCTTGCAGATGGCAGTGTGGTCTCTGCTTCAACACTGATGGAACTTCTGTTGATGAATGACTTTAAACTTGTCATCAATGGTATTGAATACAGAGTACATCCCCCACTGAAAGGTACAAAATGCCATGACTGCCCTTAACCTGTCTGAAGACTGCCTGTCAAATGTTTAAAATTTTTAAAAACCAGTTCTGTGTAAAAAAATAAATAGCTTAGATCCTCAGTCAAATCTAGTTCTTCCTTTCTTTCAGTCTTAAAGCAAACAAACTTTCATAGTGTTTTGGGACTAGGGGAACGGCTTAGTGTAGCGCCTCTGCTTGGCATGTAGAAGGTCCCTGGTTCAGTCCCCAGCATCTCTTGTTAAAAGGATGAGGTAGCAAGTGAAGTGAAAGACTCTTTTCTAAGATCCTGGGCAATTGCTGCCAACCACAGTAGACAATACTGAACAGAGTCCAGTGGTCTGACTTGGTACAGCAGCTTCATTTGTGTTCATGTGACTATTATGATCAGAACTAACCTTCATCTTTGTCAAGAAAACATCCCCACACCAATTTGCAGTCCAGGAACTGGTTTTTAAATAGAGGGTTAAATTCTTAGGAATCCAAGTTAAATTCTCAGGAATACGGCTGTGGTAATAACTCCACTTTTATTCTCCCCCCCCAGATAAACTGAGCACTGAACATGCTACAAATGTGGATGATGTCAAGTCTTTGGTCCATAGATTGTTCACAGCCCTTCATTTAGAAGATCATCAGACAAGAAGAGAGAGGGAATTGTTGCAGAAAATGGAACTTCTGAAAGAAGAACTGCTGCCTTTAGAGCAGGTTTGGGCAGTACTTACTTAAAGGAAAACTCCATTTCGGTCTAGAGTTCAGTTATAATTAATCCAAAACATATTGAATCTTAACCTGTATCATAAATAAGAACTACTGGATGTCTTTTGGGCTGGGGATCACCAGTAGATTGTTCTCTGAAGAGCGTAATGCACTTCGGGGGATATACCAGAGGAGATGGTCCCGAAGATACATGGGTCCCTTACCACTCAAGGCCTTAAATAAATAAAACAGTAAAAATTCAAGAAATACTGTGACAAGGAAATAGAAGACACACCATGGTGCCTGTTATACCCAAGGGTAATGTATTGAATCCAACATTGACTGAGGGGTGGGGGTGGCTTTCTGCAGCAGAACAAGGCTCCTTCTGTCAAATGAAAACTCTTCACTTAACAAAAGAGAATAATTGGATCCTCTCCAGTATCTTTAATTCCAAGAGACAGACTGGCTGAGTTCACCATTTGAAGCTTCTTTATTCAGGAAATCATTTTACTGTGGCTGAGTAAAGTCAAACCTCTCAGGGAAGGGAAGATTACCTAAATAGGTTTCTGAATGCAAAGAATAGGATTCTACAGTTATGCAAATAGAAAGATTTCATGCTTCCCCGTGAGCCCTGTAAGCTATCTGCTCTGGAGGGGGGGGCCCTCTCATGGGCAACATGCCATTCAGCATTGGCAGCTGCAATGAGAACACTACTTCCTCTTAAGTAACCGTTGTTTTGTCTTCCCAGATAAAAGCCAGACTCACTGCAGAGGCTGATGCTAAGAGTTCTCGTCTTCTATGGATTGGCTTAGCCTTAATGTCTACTCAAGGAGGAGCTCTGGCCTGGCTTACCTGGTGGGTCTATTCATGGGATATAATGGAGCCTGTCACTTACTTCATCACCTATGGAAGTGCCATGGCATTCTATGCTTACTTTGTACTTACTAAACAGGTGAGTCTTGTTAAGTAGACATTTAAAGCAGTAATATAGACTGAAAGGTCACTTGCAAGTATCTTGAGTCTGTGTGTTCTGGAATTCTTTTTTTACTTCTTATTGCAAGACTGAGTGTGGTTGTCCTATTCCATGAGATGGTGCACTGTCTGCCTCTTTTGATATGGGAACTGTTCAAAGGACTGGTTTGACCTAGACTTATATGTCTTTGGTCCTAATGGTCACCTCCTTTCCATTACCATCTCGACAACCAACCAACACTGTCCTCCTGAGCGTACTATCTATATGTCCTGGCCATAGTTGTCACTTATAAAGAAGCGTACGCATTGCTACCATACTTGCTAGATTTCCTTACCTTGAAGTTCTGACTCAATCCATCTATAAAACGAATAGGTCATGAGTTCTTCATGTGAGAATGTTCTTGTAAGAGTTGTCTGTCTTGTAAACCACAAATTTACTATAAAATTGCTTGGCGTTCTAGAATTTTGTAGGACATAGTAACACATCATGGTTACACTCTAGTTTTTGAGGTGGAAAACTAAACCAGACCTTATTATTATCTTAAGAGTCTTCGGAGTTCTTTCTTTTGGGGTAGGTTTTGACTTTCAGCATCAGGCTGACATGATGGGATTGGTGAGCCACAGTTCATGATGGTCTCTTATATGGTTGGTGTATAACTTCTTTTTAAAAAGAACAAGAGAAGCTTCCAGTCAAGACTAAAATAAAAAATGTCTCAGTGCTTCCTGATGACTTCAGTAGCAGTAAAATGAAACATAACTACCTCTCGTTGCTAGAGATTTTCAGAAAACTTCCTTCTGTGCTCTTTTTTATCCTTTTTCAGGATTATATTTACCCAGATGCGCGAGACAGGCAGTTCCTCCACTTCTTTCACAGGAGATCCAAAAGCCAGAATTTCAATGTGGATCAGTACAACAAGTTAAAAGATGATCTTGCAAAGGTATTTACATAAATCAGTCCTGATCCCGATATTTAAATGATGCTTTGCTTGTTTGTTGAAAAGAGGCTGCAAAGGATTTTGAAAAGCACATATTTGCAGTTTGATTTTTTTTTTACCCTGCCCGTGACAAGTTATAATGCTTAGGGAAAAAATGACGTAACAAAGGCTTTTAATATTGATTGAAAAGTGCAAATTGGCAGCCCCTCAATAGGATGGAAGAAAAATGAACCATCTTAAACTGCAGAAGTGGGGCCCTGCTTCCATTTCCATCTTTTGCCACAGCCGTGGGTTCCTGTCACAAATGCAAAACCCATCTGGCTTCATAATGCACAAACATAACTGCCTTCCTGTCTGCAGGACAAATGACATAATTTCCATCTATTTCACCATGCTTTAAACAAAATCCTTAATGTAGTCTCTACTGAGCACTGGCAGTCCAGACCCACTCAGATTTTCCAGGGCATCAAGAACTGCAGACTGTAGAATGCTGTTCCCCACAATGTACCAGCTGAAGCGTAGAACACTAAGAATCCAGCTAGGACTGTCCATTAGTGGAGATGATGGTGGGGCAATTGTCCCATACATTAGTTCTCCACTCTCAGTCCCAGCTTCTGGTGCCTTCAGTACCTGTCCTGCCCAATGACAGTTTCTCCCCTGGAAGTGGAACCCATGGATGACCCTTCCCAGGAAAGACTGTCTGGGCACATGTTGCAAATCATAGAGTACCAGGTCCTAGACACTGTGGAACTGATCTGGAATGGGGTGTGTGGTTTGGGGATTTTATTTTTGTGCAGTGAAAAATTATTAAATGACATTTTCTCATGATTTCTCAGAAAAAGACTACTCATACTGTTCTCCTTTATGAGAGAACATTTTTAATTTATGAAATGTACAGTCCTACCTTTTTTGCTAGGAGGTTAAGTATACAGATAGCTCCAGATGTCAAGCTGCCAAAAGGGCCAAATTATACTGCTGGTTCCAAGCTCTGATTTAAAAACTAACTTTGGTTAATGGTCACTATGGCTGTCTGAACTATAGCTAATGTTAACTAGGAAATGGAAGGATTCGGAAGAAGAGTGAGAAGTGTGTGCCGGTTTTCAGGGTGTTCTTGGTCACAAGGATAGTAGTGCTAATTTTTTTTTTTCTGAATGGCTTTGTACATTCGTATTATCTACACAAGAAGTAATTTCTGCATAGTAAATTGTGTGCGGAGAACAGCTAGGATATGACTGTAAATTGCAGGAAACCCATGTTCTGTAGAAGGGAGGCCCGAAAAGGAATTTAAGAGGCCCTCTTCTATCATATTTTCAAATGAGACCTGTTCAGGATGTTCAAACTCCATACTAGGGTGTACAGGTAAATTAGTGCACTGAATCAAGTCTTTCTGAGGAACATCAAGAGGCTGTCTTTTGGAAACCCATGTATAGTTCTGCAATTTCTTGCTGCTACATGGCAGTTACAACCACGTAAGAAATCAGAGGCTGAAGTATTCCTTTTCCAGACTTCCCATTCCCAGAGCTATATTCTGATGGGTGTATTTAATTTGCCTGTTCCCTTAGGCTTAAGAAGAGGTTCAGTCATTCTGTTATTTAACAAAGGGTCAACAAATCATCTCAACAAATGTGTATCCTGAACACATGTGAGCCCAATAACACAATATACAGGGGGAAATCAGGGTGACCCTCCTTGTCAATCCCTCCCGTTAATTTTGCATATAGCTAGGTTTTTTCTAATGTCAGTCATCCCCCACACACACAAACACCAAATCAGATGTAGGAAATAAACATGGGGTTGAGATACCCGTTTGCTTTCCAACTAAGTGCTGGGTATCTAGTATTTGTAGGCTGCCTATCAAGGAAAGCACAAGAGAATGAGCCTCATAACGCTGAAAGGGATTTATGGTTAAAGATCAGATCACCGGCTTGCTTTTGTCTCATGTCGACAGGTAGAAGAAGCCTTGAAACGGCTGAAGAACCCTTTACAATTACGTCTTCCAATCCAAGAAATAAATGACAAGCTTTAATTTTTTATATCCTTGAAAATGTTTTTGATCTGGTGAATTGCCCCAGATGTTTAGGAACTGAATATTTTGGACCAACGTGGGGGAGGGGGATCTATAATGTCTGGTTAAAACTGTTTCTGACAACTGGGATTTTTTTCACCTTACAAAGAAATTCTTTCAGATTCTCCATGTATATACATATATGTATGTATGTATAATTTGTTAGCACTTCAAAATAAAAACTGAACAAATAGTACTAGCTAGCATTGGATTACCAGCACAATCTTGACAAAGCAAGAGACAAAAGTCTGTGGGGGTCTTTGTAAGAAGTTTATTTTACTTTCAGGCCGTTTCAAAATAATTTACATATTGTCATTTTCTAACTGTCAATATCTGTTTTGTACAGATATCATGGCTGAGCTACAAAACAGTCACAAGTCTACACATGCGTATGTCATCATTTAGGCTGTGATTGATAAGCATGCCATATATAAAATGTCTTCACAATAGCAAGGTATTATGGGTGCTACTCATCTGTACAGATGTGACCTTCCAACATCCAACCAGGTAGCAAAGCCCAGGCAAACTACATACACCTGGAGTCATGATCCTGCATGATCCAGTAACAGCTGGTGCAATGTGTTACAGTCCCCCAGCTATGAAAAGGATACCAGAAATTGTTCTGAGTTGTCCAACCAGCCATTGCTGTGTCAGTAACTGCTGTATACCTGTTTCTGATGAAGGTATGGAGAGGGAATGTAGCAGATTTGTTGGAATCACCCGTGTCCCCAAAGCACCATTTCATTGGTAAATACAACACTTTTAAAAACCTTGAAAAAGTACAAAATGTTCATTACAAAATGGAAATTAAAAAAACTTTTATGCCATCACAGGTTTCTGAATCTGATGTGGAAAAAAACTTGTCACTCGGTACAAACTAGAAGACAGGAAAAATTTGGTCAAGTGCTTCTTTATCACTCCAAATGCTACTAGTGATTTTAATTTCCAAAAGCTCCCTGAGCCTGTTGTAATGTTGATTTACAATAAAACAATTTCATATACAGGACTCACAAAATTATATCCAAGCCTGAGATGTTAACTGCTGGTAAAAAAAATTGTCAACATAATCAATTAATTTGGATTTATTTGCAATTTAAAATTGAAATGTCACAGAAGTGTTCAGATTTTGAAGCACCATTTTCAATATTGAGCCCTTCTTTATTTAGCTAGCTACAATCTTATCTTCTAGGTTGAATATTTTTTTAAAAATCCATGTATTTGTTCTTTTAAAAAATCCTGTTTGCCCCGAAAGAAGTCAGGGTGGTATGATTCATTAAGCAAACTGAAATATGCACACTACTTGAACATTTTAATGTATGATCCATATCACAAGACTGTGTTTAGGTCAAGATGTCCTCGACACCTGCTCCCCCTAAAAAAAGAATTTTTACCGGTATACCATTCTACTTAGATTTGGGGTAAAAGTACAACTTCTTAGTTAACATGGATGCGAAACAAGGGATCTGCTTTTTCCCTAAAGCATGAATATCTCTGCATACGTCCACCTTGCGATGAGACACCTTCCTGTTGACCAGCGTCAGAAGCTCTGTAAATTCAAGGGAGGACCCATGCCGCCTTATCATGTTGCACAGATCTTGAATGTACCAGGAGCCGTTGACAGTCTCACGGTGAGAGTAATACCCTAGTGCAAAAGACAGACTTCTGAGTTGCTTGTCTGAAAATGTGGCTTTGCTCTGATACTCTGCATCCAAATAATCTTGCTAGCACTATTAATGAAGTCTGGATGGTACCTAAAACTGCACTTCGTTGCCTTTGGGAAGTTCAAGAGCAATCATCGCCCACACCCTGTTCTAAAACATTTATTCCGACAATGACTTAAGTTGCTGGTAATGAGTATGCTTAACGTTGCAGCCTTCATTCGGTTGCAGAACATGGACTGTAAAAAGGTGCTTTATATATGCTGCACTATTTGTTTAGTACATTTTTTTATCCCTCACTCCCTCCAAGGACCTCTGGGTAGCTTACAAGGTTCTCCCCCTCAGTTTTATTCTCACAAACACCCTGTGAGGTAGGCTACGCTGATAGATGACGACTGGCCCAAGGTCACTCAGTGAGTTCTATGGCAGAGTGGGGATTTGAACCCAGATGTCCCAGCTCCGGGTCTGACACACTAACCACTGGCTCTCAATGTTAAACACTGTTGCAGGGATTCCAATGTCCAGACCCAAGGGGAAGACAAGAGCAACAGCCAACAAAAGGTTGTTTGGGGGAAAATGACTGGTGGCAGCCACTGATCACAAATTTTCTTTGGATCCATGCAAAAATTAAGGAGTCCAGACTCATCCATACCAAATACAGTTTTCCCCTCTGTCTTATTAAGCAAGTTTTAAGTGATAAGTGGGCTTGCCAACTGGCCTGCAAAAAAATGTCCTGTCCCTTTAGTAGAGGATCGATAGCATTTTACTTCCAAGCCACAAAAAAACCTCAACAGTCCATTTGCACACATTAAGCCTCTTACACCACAGCAGTTGGCAACCCTAATTGAGCAGGTCAAGCCCTACTCTAAGAGGTAAGAATATCAGTTAGTTATAAAGAGCAGGGCCTTTACCACAGTTGGCCTAAGGCTCTGGAATGCCTTCCTGAATAAGGTGCAGAGCTGCTTCATCTTTTTTTCAGATGGGATGCACAAGGTTTTGTGCATGTGAGGATGTTCACTGCAGAGGCACAGCCCAGGAAAAACTTGAAAACTTTTTACACAGCCCCCTTAGTTCCCTTCCCCTACAGGAACTAAGCCCATGTACATGTCACTGAAATGGAACACCCATGCTTCCCCAGTTTTTCCCCATCGCCATCTGCTCCCCCCCACTCTGTATCATCTTCCTTGTCTCAAATTGTAGATTGTAAGCTCCTTGGGGCAGGTACTTTTCTTTTGCTCTGTAAGGTATCATGCATGTGGACTATTCTGTGTAATAAAAAAAACTCAACATTTGATTCTGCTGAATGTAAATAACCTGGCCCTAAACTACGGGGTTCCATGGAATGCCTTCCTGAATAAGGTGCAGAGTGAGGATGTTCACTGCAGAAGCACAGCCCAGGAAAAACTTGAAAACGTTTTACACAGCCCCTTAGTTCCCTTCCCCTACAGGAACTAAGCCCATGTACATGTCACTGAAATGGAACACCCATGCTTCCCCAGTTTTTCCCCATCGCCATCTGCTCCCCCCCACTCTGTATCATCTTCCTTGTCTCAAATTGTAGATTGTAAGCTCCTTGGGGCAGGTACTTTTCTTTTGCTCTGTAAGGTATCATGCATGTGGACTATTCTGTGTAATAAAAAAAACTCAACATTTGATTCTGCTGAATGTAAATAACCTGGCCCTAAACTACGGGGTTCCAGTGGGACAGCCATGTTAAGTGTGTGTCAACAAGAACCCTACAGCACTTTAAAGACATATATGACAGCATAAACTTGCAGACTGAAGACTTTTTTGTTTAAACTAATGTTGTAAGGCAGGCCAACTGCTGCCACGAAACTCCTGTTACAATGGAAGTAAAAGAATAACAATGCCCAAGAATTATTATTTTTTTCAACTCAAGCATGGAGTCCTTGGGGGGGGGGGGATAGATTTCAAACAGGAGCCCTCACTGAAAAGATCTGGATCATAATCCTGACCTTGTTTCCTCTCCAGGCCACATTTCTCTGACTCCCCCCCCCAAGTTTCTTACCCTTTGCCCACCCCACCAAACACAACCACCTGCCTGCTTTCAACCTTCCCAGGCTTCGGCAGGAAAGAACAGAAGTTCAAAGCAAAGGAGAGCCAGCAGCCACTCAGTTCTGTTTGTAGCAGAGCTCATACCCTAACAACAAATTAGCTCTGTACTATAAGCTTTACAAGGCATTCCTTTTAAGGGCTGACTCCCCCTTTCAAACTCGAGTTCACAGGCTAGGGGCCACTAGAGTTTTTGTCATCCGAAACAAAGGCTTCAAGTCACCATGGCAACCTGGAACTGATAAGGCCTGAACCCTACAGTGATTTTCCCCATCACTCCCCAAATGACTGAGCAGAAAGGACTGATGGCAATCACAACAAAAGAATGTTTCTGGCATCCCTGTGTAAATTGTGGTCCAAATAAGCCTCCAGTTCCACACTAAAAAAAAAGGATGAGAAATTTTGGGTCATGCCATGCCATAAATCCACTTCTTTCACAGCTATCCCATGTAAATTTGTTGACTTTATTTTACACTTCTTTTTTAAAAAATCATTTGATACTGTTAGTACAGTATAGTTTACTTTCTGCAATTGTCTTACACCCAGACAAATGCTTTTTGGAGATAGGATTGCTGGAGTTACCTTTGCCAGATGGACAGCTGCCATATCTGTTCTACACAGGTACAGTAATGAATATTATTAATGTTTTTTCCTCAGTTGCCAATAGTCTTTGACATTTTGCAGGCATAGACACTTCACTGTACATATGCAGCTTGCATATACTCCATGGCCTCATTTATATTCATGGAGGAAACACGTTCAATTATTGTTGTAGCAAACACATGGATATGCATTATAACCATTCAAAAGCTGACAGCCACTTGAATCAATTATAGCTTAAACACACCAATAACGTACAGGGTGGTTAAGTCTCAGGAAATGACTTCCTTATTTTATAGATAAGAGAGAAAACCTGTTGTTGTTAAAGACATATTTTAGGCAACAACCACTTCAGGGCACTGTAAGTAGAAAACTGCAATTTACCTTCTGCTACAGAGTAACACATGAGGAAGTCAGCCCCAGCAGGTAAGGTATAAACTGCAGCAGCATCCACTTCAGTGTCATTGACGTCTGACTGGTCTGTTATGCTGTCTACTGTATCAGCAACAATGACTGGGTCATCATGTTTATCTCCTCGACATGCCTAGCAATAAGGGGAGGAAAAAGCTGAACACCGTTCTAAAGCAGAAGTCTTCCTGTCATCCCTGCTCCTTGACAAGCATTAATAACACAGGTT